AGACACAGTCTCCCTGCTTTAAATCCCACCTATGTACAAATTATTCCCAAGAACTGTACATCCAACATGTTTATGTTGAACGGTGTGTGTGACCTGTGTTTTTATTTCTTACTCCCTGTGCACCCTAAAAATACACATTGCACAAGGACAGGGACTAGGTTTTATGCCCTGCTATCTTCCTAGGGCCTGGCACACACCAGGGGCTCAAGATGCACTTGAAAGAATTAAAGCCAGTATCTGCCTCCATCAACTAATAACAGATGTCTATACCAATTTCTTACAGAACACTTAGGTAACAAAAAGAAAAAATGCTCCTAGAAATAAGACTCAATAGAGAGTCTGGAGAATAAATACAGGTGTAGAAATCTCACACTGAGCACAGCAAAATGCTAGGGCTGAAAAAAACAGGAAAGAAAAGAAAATTAGGCAATCTTTCCAAAACATGCAAGATCTGAACACCACATGTGCGAAAAGAGAAGATAAAAACATTCAAGAAAACTTGCTGCAACTGTGGCCTCACGTTTCCCAAATCAAAAGAGACCACTGGGTGCACCCCATGAGAGATGACTCATCATCAAGAGATTTCAGAACCCCATGGACAGAGAATATCCATGAAGCATCCAGAAAGTAGGAAAATAAATAGGTTTCACAATAAAGAACGGAGGGTTAGAACAGCCCTAGTGGAAACCAGAAGACCATGTTTTCAAAGCAAAGGGGAAAGAATGTCAAACCTCTATCCTATACCCCCGTCCAACTGTCGATTAGTATAAAAGTAGAATACAGCCATTTTCAGACACGTAGGGTTTAAAAAATTTTACCGCCATGTTTTCTTTCTTAGGAAGGTGACAGAGAATGCACTTCACCACAGGAGAGCTCAAACCAAGAATGAGGCAGGGGCACCCAGGTGGCTCAGTCGGTTGAGCGTCCAACTTCGGCTCAGGTCATGATCTCCCAGTCTGTGAGTTAGAGCCCCGCATCAGGCTCTGTCCTTACAGCTCCGTGCCTGGAGCCTGCTTTGGATTCTGTGTCTCCCTCTTTTTCTGCCCCTCTCCTGCTCTCACTCTCTCTCTCAAAAATAAATAAACATTAAAAAAAGTCTTAAATAAAAAAAAAAAAATGAGGCAATTAGGAGATCTAAAAATCTAAGGGAGGAGTAAGAGGAATACCCAGGAGGACGGCGAGGGACACTTCACAGGGCCAGCTGTCAGTCAGACTACGACCTTCCCAGACTGTGTCAGAAGACCTGAAGACAGAATTCCTCAAGAAATTTAAATGACCATCTTCTGACTGTGTTTGGATACACTGGATACTGGAAATTTACGCAACTAGAGGATATTTTGAAAATAAACTGTATGAGAAACAAAGCAGACGGAAAGTACTGATTTCACTGAAAGCAAACAGGGTGCAGGAAAGAAAAGGAACTGTCGCATACGACCACATGTCTGGGCTTGTACGTTGCTTAGCGATGTGAGCACCGAAAATAGTCACGACTAAAATTAACCATAGTGGGAGGATGGGGGGGATACAAGTAAAGATGTGTGAAGTGGGGGTACAGAGGATAGTAAAAACGCCAAACTCATCCCCACTATAGAGAGGCAATAAATAATACCTAAAACTGGGATTTGAAGACAAGGAGGGAACTGCTGTGAGTATCAGATAAAAGCTGACATGGTTGCCGCTGGGGGGCTAGAGGGCTGGAGGCTTCTGGGTTTTAGAAAAACCCACACAGCGGTAGTTGCCTCTGTCACTACCTACATAGACATCTTAGGTAAAAATAAAAACAATGCCAGAAGGTCTCACCACACTGAACTGGCAGGGGAAGAGGCCTGGATAACAACTTTGCAGAAGGATGACTTAACGGTACGTGTCCAAACGTTAAACACCCGCACATCCGAGGACAACCATTTCCCAGAGGAAATAGCTGAATGAATTCGGGAATTTGCCGGCCACGTTCCTTTCACTAAAAAATTAGAAACAACTGTAATGTCATTCAATATCAGACTAAGGAAAACACACAATCCTGGAATCTAACGCAACCATCAGAGACGGAGTTATAACTCATATTTACCAAGACAGGAAGATGCCGATATTCTGCCGAGTCGGGGAAAGGTTCCAGAACGGCAGGTGTAAATTCACTTATATAAAATGTTTAATTCTCGAGAACTTCTCCTCTTTCCCTAAATGGTCCCACGGCTTTCTCGTTTAGTTTAGGTTTTTAATGTGTTTCCTCTTCAGAAGGACTTTCTGAGGTGGCTTTTTCTAAAACAGCCAGCTCTTCCCTGGATAGCCTTACCCTGGGTTCTTTCACCCGACCATTCAGCAAAGACGCTGGTGAATGACACCAGATCCGGGCTCAAATCCTAGCACCAGCCACCTGTGTGACAACAGGGACTCAAGCGCTTTGGTTTCCTCAAGTGGAATACGAAAAAAATAATAAAACGTAGCCAACACTTCTATGCTGGGGCAAAAAGCTGATTTAACGTGCGTAGCGTGCCTGCTTGGTAGGAGTCAAGGTTCGATACATGTCCATTACCAAAATCATCTCTTTTGCACTCTTCTGGATTATTTGAATTTTTCTCCTAGTGAAAACATATCTTTTGGACAAAATCAGTAACACTTTAGTTACAAACAATTTTACTCTAAAACTACAAAAAGCAGAGAAAGGAAAGAAAAAGGGCATATAATTCCACTACTCGTCAGTCATACAAAATAAGAAGTCAGTATGTCCCGATCTGAAACCACGCCTACCCTCCAGTTAACTGGCGTTTTTTCCCCTCAGCTTATACAGACACACATGTATCCACATAAGTCTTGTTGGATTAAATAAAACCGGGATCATGCTGCCTTTTTTCCCCATTTTTCAATATATTGTAGACCTGGTTCCACACCTCATCCTGTTTAGCCGGTACGCAGTGCTCTGTGCGGCATCCGCTATTCATGGACTGTCAGACTCTGCCAGTTTCTCCGACCATAACACCACGAGGAGCCTGAACACGTACCTTCACGTATCGACCTATTATGAGATTCCTGGGGTCGGGGGG